AGAGACAGAGAAGGATTCGTCATCAGGAACTCGCAGGGATAAAAGACGCGCCCTATTTACCAGCATACGGAGACAAATGCGCATATAGGCATCCATTCAAGTGGGGGAATTGGACGGCTTTTCTTCGCACAACCTGGGATGGGGAATAATGAAGTTGCTGCGGACTAGAGGAACAATTATTGCTGCCCTTTTCACAAGAGCTGTTCTATGCATGATGACAGATAATAATGGAATAAATTAAATTATGATTAAAATTCTCTTCTCATAGGCTGAATGCATTCAATCTCTGGATTTTATTGAGTTTGAAAAATTCAGCGTTGAAGGAAAATACAATCAAACTGAATTGAGAACTAACCCCTGTTGGAAAAAAAAATAATGTACAAGTACAGCAGCGGAAAAATAATGAGTAACAGATGCCATACAAATATTTACATCATGTTTTCCAGTTCAACACTGATTGCAGCATTACATTTTTAGTCATTTTCTCAGTAACATTTTTGTAGTTGGCCCAGCTTAATTTTTTCATTTAAACCCAAGACGTATATGTCGCAAATTTTTAGTTCTGTTTTTAGCAAGTCAATTTGAGAACTCGAATTCTCATCCTTGGGGACAAAATCCACTTTCTGTGAGAACCTCGGAAGACCTCAGAAGACCTTGGTTCTCACGTTGCTTACGGAAGCCTCCAAGGCTACATTTCTTTACTAATCCTGTTGCTAAATCTCATCCTTGAAGGACTGCTTTCCTGTTCCAAAAACCCACAATGTTCAGCACAGTCTATCTCCTGCATTTGTGTGTGCGGTTACTCCGAGATTTTGCAAGCATTCATCTAAAAGTGTCAACCAAATCTTCGAATATATCAACCTTATAATAGGGTGATCTCACCCCGGTCGCAGCCCGACCAAATTCTTGTGTTTTACTCTTAAAAACCAATCTATCTCATCATCAAAAGATTCTTTAAACTAAAATTTGTTATTTGTTGGAATTATTCCTGACAGTATAGGTTACCAGAATTCAGGCAACAAGGATAAGTTTTTCAAAAAATTATTCAAAAATTTGTGTTACAGCTATATTTTATATACAGGACACCACATAAATAAAAAAGTCTGTCTTTTGTCAAATACAGCAATTGAATAGCAGTTACAGAAATACATCTCTCTACAAGTTTCCTAATGAATGGATTCCTCTATAAAGCTTTGATTTTTCATTAAAAAACAAGGATTATCTGCTGGAATTTTGAAAAAAGTATTAGGTTGATCATAAAATACTTTAAAATGTTGTGACACTGCTCAAGTCTGTAGCATGTAAAGACATAAGTAAAGAATGAGCATATGCCTCATGTCAAATACAAAAACCAAATCGGAATCATCAAAAAAAGAATAACCAGCACTCAGACCTTACAGGGACTTCTTGTAGCTTCAAGAATTAATTTCAAAATGTTTTCCAATAAATACATTCCACTACCAAGCTTTCATTTGTCATTCAAAAACAAGAATCACTTCCTGGAACTCTGGAAAAAGGATGAAATTAATAATTTGATTTTGTGATGCATATTTGATATAAAGACACCTCATAACTAAAAAAAGAGCATGTTTCATATCAAATACAGAAACAACATAGTTGTTATCAAGATATAATACACCTAATAGCCTTCAATCCCTGAGACCTGGGACTTGAAGCTTGAAAATTCCTTTATAAAATGGTTTCCAATAAATAAATTCCATTACCAAGCTTTAATTTTTCATCACAAAACAAGAATCACTTCCTGGAGCTCTGGAAAAAGTATGAAATTAATCATATGATTTTGTGATACATATTTGAAATACAGACACCTCAAAACTAAAAGATAAGTAAGTTTGAAATCAAATACAGTAACAACATAATTCTTATCAAGATATAATACCTTCAATCGCTCAGACCTGAGACTTAAAGCTTGAAAATTCTTTTATAAAATGGTTTCCAATAAATAAATTCCATTACCAAGCTTTAATTTTTCATCACAAAAAAAAATCACTTGCTGGTACACTGTAAAAAAGGATGAAATTATTCATAAAATAATTTGAGATTTTGTGATGCATATATACAGACACCTCATAACAAGACAAAAAGAGCATGTCTCATGTAGTCATGTCAAATACAGTAACAGCACAGTGGTTATCAACATACAATGCACCTAATGGCCCTCAAATCCTCAGACCTGGGACTTGAAGCTCAACAATCTCTCTCTCTCTGTATCATTTCATTATTTTTATTTTCCTTTTCAAATCAACAGCATCCACAGCACAATAAGCCAAGCAAGTGCAGATCACTTCCAGCAGCAGCAGCAGCAGCCCCCCACTTCATCACCCACATTTGCCACAGTCATCAAGAGCAGCTCATCACCCAAAAAGAATCCCCCAGTTCTCCCCAGCAGCAGCAGCAGCCAGACAAAGAACAATAATATTCAACCAAGGGCAGTGTCTGAGAGTCAACACAGACTGGATCTCATCAAGCGCATCATTGAGCGCTGCTCAGAAAGCGACCAAGTTCCTTGCAATCAAGTGAGTGGGTGTTGGGTGTGTTGGATACAACAAGGTTCCTGCTAAACTTTTCCCCATCACACATTTATTCACATGCCTTCAGGGACTGCTGTATATATAGACAGCTAACTCTTCTGGAAAAAGAAGGAGAGGGGTTGAGGATAGGGTATTGGATTGAAATCACTGCTGGGGCATGTGTATAGCCACAATAATTCAGTTGGGAATGGTATCAGTAAACCCCCCCCCCCCCATAGAAATCCTCAATCTTATTGGGATACATGTGGTGGCCTAGGGTAAAGAAAAGGAGTTGGAGAAGAGCAGCAAATGGGATGAAGGTGAAGCAAGCTCAACAGTGGACCATTGGGTGATGGCCAGAGCCACTTCATAAGAATATTTCCCAAGAAAAATTGTTGTACTGTACAATATGTTCCCCAGCAACAAGCAAAAATTTTATGCATAAAAATTCAAAGACATTATGACAGTTGACATGAGAAATTGATGAATCCACATGAATGAATGAATGAACAGAACACTTTATTTTCCGCTTTTCAGCGTTCACAAGGTTCAATCAAGTTTTCCACATCCAAATCCCCTCCCCACCCAACCCAAATCCACTCAAAGACATTTAATCACTTCAGAGACATTTAATCTACATGAGAAGAGCTCTTTTTGATTCACAGCTTCTTTCCAGTAAAAATTCATGTTACACAGCTCATATTCCAAGAGATTTCATGTGCTGTGGTATTTCATAATGATAATCAGGGGCTTCTAGAAAAGAAAGAAGAAAGAACAGAAAACTATATTTGCCGCTTTTCAGCGTTCACAAGGGATAACCAGAACTCCTGCATCCAAACCCCCTCCCACCCAACCCAAATTGACTCAATGACATTTAATCACTTCAGAGCAGTTGCACAAATTGATAACAAAATTAAAAGAAAATACAATCCATGAAATACAACTGGACATCTGACATGTATGCATACACCCATTTGTTCCCTGACATTGGAAACAAAATATATGTAAAAATTAATTTAAAGGACAAGATCTTCAGCTTGTTTCTGTATCAGGTTTAGTTGAATGAACAAATTAGAGAGAATCTTTGATGAGAAATCATATAAGGCCAACAGTTTATCTTGATCCTTTAAGATTTCAGAAAGGGTCTCGGTTTTTTTAAATTTTTGGGTGATATTAAAATTTTTAGTGATAAATCAAGTACTTTACATATTAATGTTCGGACACGGTTACGAAAATCAGCATCTTGAAGGAATTTTTTCGTCGGATTTTGTACATTTTTTTTACTTTACTGTGCTTTTGTTTACAGAAGAACGAGAACATAATCCTTATGTTCATAATTCTATAAGCTTTTCGATCGTTCGCTATTTTTTTAAAGAACTTTCCTGTCGATTTACCGTGAAATCTAACGAGAAAAAAAATTATGCAAGTCGAAATCGATGAGGATTCTTTGTGGCCATGGCCGATTGACATTCTAGTTTGCCTGTGCAAATATTGTCGGGTGACTGTTGAATCCTTGCGGTTATGCCTTGCATTTCAAGACCCAATTAAGGGGCTATCGAAGAAAAAAAANACTAAAGTGCCATGAATTAGTGGGCTTCTAGTTCTTTAAATTACAGGGGGTGGAGGAAAGGGTGAATTGAATTGAAATCACTGGAAGGGGCATAGCCACAAATATTTCTCTTGGGGGATGGATCAGTAAATCCCCCCATCAAAATCTTGTTAGGATAAATGTGGTGGCCTTGGGATAGAAAGAGTTTGAGAAGGCAAATAAGGCTCAACAGTGAACCATTTTGGGTGGTTTCCACATCAAAATAGCCAAATTAAAATTTAAATTCATTTCCACAAGAAGAGGCTTCCTTCACTTGAAGATTGTTCATTGACAGGGCTTTGCCAAACTGATCATATATTGTGAAATATTCTGAAGGGTTGACCTAGGCCACTTTTCCAATAAAGTTCCTCCATAACAAATTGGAATTGAATAAATATTTCAGGCATTGAAAATTGACACCATGAACAGGTACATTTATGGTCAGTCATCATACAAAAAAAGCAGAAAATAGCTTGAATTCTCATCTCTTTAATCAAGTTAATGACAGAAAAGGAAGAACAAATAAAAAATCACAAGAAACGGAATAGCTTTGCTTGAGAAGCACTCCACAATAAGTCACGTGTATCTTTGTCCGAATATTTTCAAATTTCCTCGATAAGTCGGAACAAAAGAGTTCCAGGAAAAAGCTTTCATCTTCGATGCAGGTGAAATCCGAGGTGAATCAACCGAAAAAAACAACAATTACTTATTCCGTTTCAACCCCGAAATCTCAAGGTTCCTAACTTAAGCTTACAATGGGTATTTATAAAGTTTTTGTGCTCGAGTTAACTTTTTTTTTCAATAAACGAAACAACACAATTTCTTGCTTTCGTTGAGAAAAAATTGTTTCAATTCATAAGCATAATATTTCTAGAGAAAAATGCTGTAAAATGAATAAAATGCGTGAAAAATAAATGGCAAAAAATCATTCGGTTCTTACCGAAGTTTCAGAAATTTTTTTTTCATCTTCCAAAAAAGTTCAAAGGGAAAACAAATTTTCGCTTCTTTCTCGTGCAATTTCATTTCAAATGCATGTTGTTTGAAAGAAAAGTTCTCTCCTGAAACTCGAATAATTCCCTCCCCCTGAATTCCACTATAATTTTCATCATACTAATATTGATCGGATATACTTTCACTACCGAAATTTTGATAACTTAAAAAAAATACACGACATGATTGTTCAAGAATAATCCAATTGAGGAAAGATTACAATGAAGCAAGCATAAAAGCATTTAATCTTTTTGAACGCATTATTTGTTCAAATCTTCATTTTCTGAAATTTGTCGTATAAAACGCGGAGAATATTATTTGATCTGAAAATATTTAAGATAGATTTCTTGTAAAAAAAAAAAGACCCATCTAACAAAAATTCAATTGAAATACTGTACTGTATACAGGAAATATTTCCCATCAATATTTCCAGAAAATAATTTCCCTTTTGAAAAATCTCCAGTAGGATGAAAATTACAGTGAAATTTAGGGGGAGAAATCCATTGAGCTTTCGGACAGAATTTATTTTTCAAAGAACAGCATGCATTTGAAATGAAATTGTACTAGAAAGTGGGGAAAATATTCAATTTTCATTGTGAGTTTTTTTTTCAACACAATAAAAATTAATTGAATATAATTGATTTTAAAATACTATATAGTTGTCATTTCAAAAACTCATGCATTAGTAAATACTGTACTGTACAATTAAAAGAATTAATCAAACATTTTCAATGCATAAAAATTTTGAAAGTATACGGAATCTACGTATTTTTAAAGTCATTGTTTCAACTGAATTTCATTTGAAACACTGAACAAAATTTATTTGTACATACAGTACGTGTTTCTATAGGATATATTTTTATTGAATGAATGAACAGAACACTTCATTTGCCGCTTTTCAGCATTCACAAGGTTCAATCAAGATTTCCACAACCAAACCCCCTTTCCCACCCAACCCAAATCCACTCAATTACATTCAATCAAATATATATATGCCATACCAACATTCCTTCCGCAAGTTATTTAATGAGAAATGTATTTTCTCATCTTTGTTTTTCAATCTTGATGGTGGTTGCCCTGAAATGTTGAAAGAAAAAAAAACACAGCTGCATGCTGAAACAATACTGTACTTATAAAATAAAAAATAATGCATGAACATGATTTCCTTGAGCTTTCAGATACCTCTTATATTGGAGTGGTTGTGAGCATTCTGATTCCTCAGCAGCTTCAGTGCATCAACTTCCTGACAATTCACTTTCCAACAAAAATGTTTTTTATGTACCTGAAGAGTCTATATGATCATTGGATTTGGTGGAGGGCAGCATATATTGAAATGCTCTCAAGTGAAGTTGATTCATGGAGTAATCCATGTAAAAGCTTTTTCCAGAATTCAAAGAGTGCTTTTAAATCATCTTGATGCACTGCTGCCATCAAAACCCTTCCAACAATTTATATATATTTAGTCTCTTTCTCAATGAAATGGACCATTTTAATCCCAAGCATAAATTCACATCTCTATAATATCATATGTCAATCATAATACTCAGAAAAATAGGCAAAAAATAATAATTCTGCAAAAGATATTTCATGATGATTTTGAATATCTTCCAGGAAATGAAAATGAAAGGCATTTTTCACCTCAACTCATAAAGGAGTAATTTGTCACCTCCCAGGATGCACATGAGCCACAAATGGGTTTCCTCTGCCCACAGGATGACATATTATGCGCCTTGAAAAGGGAACAGCATCAGGACTAAATTTATTCTTTTGATGGCAAAAAGAGGTTTTCTCTCCAAGAAGCAAAAAAAAAAAAAAAAAAGGATCTTGAATTCCTCAGCAGGGCTTTGAAAGCCTGAATTATTCAAAAGTTCTTTCTCTGATGGACTCGCCCATCTGAGCCCTGATTGGACTGACTCCAAATGGCCTGGATTCACCCTGCTTTTTAAATATATAAATTCTGTGCATTTTTTTTCTTGAGACAGGGTGTGAATAAAAAAAAGACATTTCAAGGAAAAATCAGTTGTACAGTGAATCCAAAGAGAATCATTCTAAAAGCAAAAAAGCACAATTTTTCTGGACTATCCAAGAAACACAAAGCATCAATATTATAATGAACTGTTATTTAAAAATTGATAACTGAATCTCAAAAAAAGCACAAAATTCTTCTTTTTTTTATCATGGTAAGAATGCATAACATCTCAACACATGTTTTCCATGTAAACCTTTCATGAAAACTGGCTTAAAAAAAAAACACCATATTTTTCCTTTTTCTGTGATAGTAGTACCCATCAAGAAACTCAAACATCCATCAACGCTGTTTGAAGTCAGAAAAAGGAGAAGAGCATGTGACATATTTTGTCCAAAACTAATATCTCACATATATATACAGTCGCATGTGAGCAAAAGTGCTGTGAAATGAGCATGTGTGGGCAGCAAAAAAAAAAAAAACACACACACACACACACACAGAAAGGAAACAGCTTGTGTGTTTGCACAATAATAATGTAGAAACGCGCAGCAGCAGCAGCAGCACCATCAGGTTCTGCTGCTGAAACCAGGGAACCCAGCAGAAAGTTGCCTCAGTTCCCACCAGGAGCCCAGAAGGCAAAGACCCCTGCTGGGTCTCACCCCAACCCCAATCTAAAAAAAAAAGCAGCACACCCACACCCAGCACTTATATACCTCTTATGCAGCACAAATCCCAAAACACTCATCTCATTTGCACTCTGTCCTCTTCCTTTCTCCAGGTCAAACCTCTCCCTTATATATACAGAGAAAAAAATAGGGGAGAATAAAACAGAAAAAATTTCTTGTGACAGAAATACTGTACATATACAGCAAAATAAACACAGCATCATGATGGGTTTTTCTCAAGAGGCATACCCACTTGTTTCAGCACTGGCAGTATTTATTTTAGCTTTCCAGGTGAGCTGATTTCATTCTCTTGCTAATAAAAAAATAGAAAAGAATTTTACAATGGTAAAGTGACTATTTTTGTGTGTGTGTGCAGGGTGTTGAATGTTCCTTCAAGAGAAGCCTGCCTGTGGAAAAGGTCACTGGTGAGTGTTCAAAAGCTACTGGTGACACATGAAGGTGGTTCAATTGAACTGCTAACTTCTTTCATTGGGGAAATGGAAAATAAATCAAGGAATAACCACTTATTCAAGATTTTATCTGCAGTATTTTTTTTTAATTTTGAAGCAGATATTCTATGAAAATTCTGTGCATAAAAAAATTGCTTGGTTATGGATAAGATGGGTTCTTTGAAATATATCCAGAACTGTCAATTTTACAGTACAAATACAGCTTTTACACATAAATTTTTTAAAAGATTGCTGATTCTGATCTTCTGGTGTCAAGTACTGTATTTAATTTTTACTTGAATCTTCCTCATATGATGTTTTTCTGAAACAAAATTAGAATTTTCACATCAAACCCTACTGGTAACAAATGAAGGAGGTTCAATTGAACGCTTCTTGCATTGGGGAAATTGAAAACAAATCAAGGAATGCCAACTTATTTCAATTTTGATATGCAGTATTTTTTTAAATTTGGAAGCAGATATTCTATGAAAATTCTGTGCATAAAAAAATTGCTTGGTTATGGATAAGATGGGTTCTTTGAAATATATCCAGAACTGTCAATTTTACAGTAAGAATACAGCTTTTACACATACTGTTTTAAAGGATTGCTGATCCTGATCTATTCTGGTGTCAAGTACTGTATTTAATTTTTTAATTGAATCTTGCTCATATGATGTTTTTCTGAAACAAAATCAGAATTTTCACATCAAACCCTACTGGTAACAAATGAAGGTGGTTCAATTGAACTGCTAGCTTCTTTCTATAGGGCAATTAAAAATAAGTCAAGAAATCAAAGTTTGTATGCAGTATTCATGTGAAAATTCTGATTTTGTTTCAGAAAAACATCATATGAGCTAGATTCAACTAAAAAACTAAATACAGTACTTGTCACCAGAAGATCAGAATCAGCAATCTTTTAAAAAATTTATGTGTAAAAGCTGTATTCTTACTGTAAAATTGACAGTTCTGGATATATTTCAAAGAACATGACATTTTGGAGGCAGGAAACATTCTGCATGACAATTCTGTGCAAAAAAGAAAAAAAAATTGCTGGCTGATGGCATGCTGGACACTTCAATTTTACTTAAAGAAAACTACATTTATACATATTTTTTCAGGATAGTTGAATCTTTCTCACATGATGTATTCTAAAACAAAAATATAAAATTTTCCATTTTATTTTATATTTTTGAGTGAATTTCCTCAGGCAAGTGCCAACTATTTATTTATAATAGTTGATTGAAGCTCATGCATGATGTATTCTGAAATAAAATTATAATCTTATGTTAGGTCAGCAAAGAGTTCATCAGATGAAACTGACTATATGAATAATAAATTTGTGGTGAAAAACTCATCACTTTGCTTTTTGGTGATTGGTGTAGGTTGATTGAAACTCACCTGGTAATTGAATAAATTCAAGAGAGTATTGCATAACTTCAATTAATTTTACAATCACTTCAATCACCAAATTTTAATAAACATGTTCAAACTATTATTTTTTTTCTTTGACAGAATGCATGTTTATGACATCAGAAGATGGCTATTTGGAGGTGGAAAGCAGAGAACAGGATACCACTTGCGCCATCTACATAATCAAGAGTCCTGATGAGGTTGTGGAACTGGAGGTGGACAAAATGGACGTTTCCTGTGACAACGGAGGCCTCATTAATGTAATTCTTTCCACTCAAACTTCTCACATATTTCATTTTTTATTCTCCTGAAAATAAGGATGATAAGCTTATATGCTTTTTACAATGGTTACACTTGGTGTTCAGGCACTTATTATATATAAGAGACTTTGAACCCTAGAAATTTGGACAAACACATTTATATGGCCTTACCATCATTAATGTGCTCTTGGAAACAATTTTTTCTGCCCACACCAGGAACAAACAAAGATACAATTTTCTTCCTCATTACATATAGGTTGAACAACGTGGGTGTGTCAGTGGATCAATGGCTCATTTAGCTTCTTTTCCTTTGACATAATTAGAGCAGAGAAATCGTTGATCCCCACCCAGGAATAATTCAGGGAATCACAAAGTTAACAGGTACTGTATATTTTCCTGGTAAAACTCTAATTGACGTGTCAGGGTAATTTTTTTTTTTTGTGTGGAAAGGTATATGACATGCTATTCTTGCATCAATATACAGGTAATGTTACTGAAATGGCCTTCTGAGGAATTATACCCATTTCTGGAAGTCGACATATTAATGATCAAATGCATAAAGTGGTTGTTTGCTGACATTATACAGTTGTATCTAAATTCAAAAATAGCTCAAATGGTCACACAAACCCATTAACAATATTAATTTTAGCATTGTGGAACGAATTTCCCATTGATAGAATCAATCAATTTCCCTAAATCAAAAATAATTGTTCACATGTACAGTACTGTACTACAAAAATTCCTCAAATAAACTATTGGGCGCCATGGAAGTTACAAATAATTTTGTTCAACATGAAAATTCTAAATTTATGAAAATATAATTCTGATTTTGTCTGAGTTGAATATTTTAAATCATAAATATGCCTCTATGTCAAGAGAGAGAGAGAGAGAGAGAGAGAGAGAGAGATAGAGAGAGAGAGAGAGAAACTCTTCACTCTGTACAATCCAAAATTTATGCCAATATAGAACTAAATTTTATTTGTATTTGATTTAAACATTCATAATCACAACTCACAAGTATGTCTCCATATTGTTACATACTGTATGTGTTATTGTTATGGACATCATTGCAGGACATCATGGACATCATTGTTATGGATATTGTCATATGGTATTTGTAATCATATACAAGTGTAAGTGTAAACAAGTGTATGCATTCATACAAATATTATACACAAAATCCATTTGTACATCATACATCCTACTACAAGTGCATAGTTATCATATCAACATCATCATCATCACTTGTATGATTAAAAATGCCAAATCAATACACAGTCCAGGCCAGTGCCCAAGCATCACATTTTCAACATGAAAAAGGGAGAGAAATTTCACTTACAACATATTTACCAGGAACAAAAACATTGAGTTTAATCAAGATATTTAAAATTTGAAAGTGGCAAGATGAAGATTGACCCAAAAGGATCATCAGGTTATTTCAGAGATGAGTCTACATCAGGCCAGGATAAAGCAGCAAAAATCCAGGCGTAATTTAAAATTTACCTTGTTTCATATAGATGAACAATTTTAAATCAATCACTGACCATTTTCTTCACTGTTTACTAGGATAATATTTCACCTTTTCAACTCTTAGTTGGTCATCTTTTCCATCCAACGTCAATGTCAGGAAGGATAAACTTTTTTTCTGTTGTGCCAAAAAGTCACATAATACTGTAATTGAATTTGCAATTCACTGCCAAATATTAAAAAAAGGTTGCTGTTTTCTGGTGCCTAAAATGTAGCACACTTTCTTAGTTAAACAGGATCACCAAGAAAAGACCATAGGGTTGAGTTATTACATTTTATATCTCCAGACAAAATCCCATCAGTGATTTTGTTCAGTAGAAAAAAAAACAAATACTTTCCATCATAAGTTTTTATTTTATTTCAAAAGAAAATATTGTACGTTCCGATCTATGCATAAAAATCGAAACAATTGAGAAATTTGCAAGAGAAATACAGCCATTTAATATTTCCATAATTTGGCTGATGGGCACCAACGCCATTTTTTTGAAGCTGGGAAAGGAATTTTTCAATTGATAAAATTCTGAGACTCTAGCTAAAGATTTGACATGTCTTGAATCCTCATTGTGAACAATTTTATTGCACCCACTTCCGTGTGAGTTTCATTCGTCCAAAAATTTTGGAAAAGTCATTTTTCTCCAATCTAATAACACGTCCAAAATTCTCAGTGAATATTTTTAAAATTCTTTTTCTTTAATTTTACGCAAATATTTCGAAAAATTTGTTAATATCTTGAGAATATTAAAAAATATATATACTGTATTGCAGTCAGGAAATATTCAGAGTGAACTGATTCGCAGAAACACAAAAATTTTTTTTTTAGTTTGATCAGGCCAATCATATTTTTGAAATTCTAATCATAGAATATATTTCAGTGATTACTTTTTTTGTTTTGTTTTTAGTTTTGCAAAATTATTCTGGGAAAATAGCTGAATGCTTACAATATGTGGAATATTAATTAAGCTGTAATTTGTATTCATCATGAATCGAATAAAATCAATAAAAAAAAATGCTTTTCCTGACGGATTCATGAGTTGGATCCACACAACAACAAAAATCTTGCGAGTTGCAGCGGAGGAAATTCGCCGGAAAAAAGAATTGGCAGTTCAATTCTGCGCGGTTAAAATATGAAAATAAATATATTTTTTACATAATTTCAATCGGTGCCTCTCTCTCTCGTTTCAAATTCATCAATAAAAAAATTCTTTTCCTGACGGATTCATGAGTTGGATCCACACAACAACAAAAATCTTGCGAGTTGCAGCGGAGGAAATTCGCCGGAGAAAAAAAATGTGCAGCTCACTTCCGCGGTTAAATATGAATATAAATATATTTTTTACATAATTTCAATCGGTGCCTCTCTCTCTCGTTTCAAATTCATCGATAAAAAAATTCTTTTCCTGACGGATTCATGAGTTGGATCCACACAAGAACAAAATCTTTCGAGTTGCAGCGGAGGAAATTCGGCAACAAAAAAAAATAAAATTGCAGCTCCCTTATTCCCTTCGGATAAAGAAATATTTTCAAATAATTTCAATTGGTGTCTCTCTCTCTCTCTCGTTTCGAATGTCGTATTTCCCCCATCAGTTGATCGACGGCTGGGAGATGAACGGGCAATTCTTCCCGAGCGAGAACGACCATCCGTTGCCGATGCGGCGGCGGTACAAGGA